GCACTCCTAGCTGACTACAGTTCGCACGGGGACCAGATCCTTTCAGGATCAGTGTTGTACCTGGAATTGCCATCCACAAGTTTTGGTGCCGACCTTGCAACAATGAGATACTTTTTGTCATCACATTGCCCGCTCAGGGCGTTTGTGGAGTCAAACGCCACATCAAATCCTATGCCTGCTGATGGCAACATGCCTGCGGCATGGCTGGATAAGAAGGCAAGTCCAGGAGATGCACCAATCGCTGGCCAAGATTGGACATTGCTCAGCTCGCAATGGAGGGGAGCAACGCCGATAGATATTCGGGTTGCTTGTACAGATGGTCCGCAAAATGCCGTCGGGCTAGGCGGTCTGACGCCAGGTCTCAATGCTTTGGTTACGAATTCCTACCCAGTTGCGGGCGCTGGCTTTCCAATCGCGCTCGGCAACAACAGGTCAGTTATCGACCCGGACCAGATGGCACGCTGCATGAACCTTTTAGCAGCAGCAGCGCCCGACCCGGACGGGTGCGAGGCCGGATTCCTGAACGCATGTATGCGTTTCGGACACTACCCCCATTGCAGCGCGCAGCTGGATCAGCCGGTGATCACGCCAGCCATGAACGAGCCGAGTTGCCCTGGCGCTTGCAGCGATGCTCTGTTACGGCATGGGTCGATTTATCTTCCTATGTCACCAATCAGGGTGTCATTATTTCAGAGCACGTGGGCGATTGATGACAAACGCTCAGAGACCCTCTCATTCATCGGCAAGGCTACGGAGGCAGTCGGCAACAGCCCACAAGTTGCATCAGTGTCCATTTCAGGATTCAATGGAATCACACAGATGGCACTGGCACAGGCGCTGAGAATGATCCCTTTGTCACCGAATGCACTGGTGACTGGCGGAGCTTGGTCCAGTGATTTGGTGGATCTGCGCGATCCGAGACCAAGATTTGAAAGTGTGTGGAAGAGGAGCGCCCTCAAACCTACTGGTTTGGGAGAGATTGTGGCAAGCAATCTGATGCGCTTGTTCGATCTCAGAGTGTGCAATTCTTTCATTTTGACGATGAACTGGCATGCAAATCCGAACGCCGAGGGCGTTCGCAATGACGAGTGCGGGGTGGGACCCCTACACAATCTGGCATCATGGATTGCCTACGACCCACTATGCACAGAGATGCTGCCAGAGAGATTGAGGCCACTTCTCAACGAAGTGGGTGCCTTGACAGACGAGGCCGTGGCGATCAGGGAGAGCTTCCAGAATTTAGAGGTGCAGAGCCGCGGGGTGCTCATAGTTGAGGGACAGTCTCACTCAGTGTACACTGAAATGGGTCCGAGCCTCAAACCGCCCTCGTTTCAAGGGACGTCCATCCTTGCTTATTCCCATGGGCCAGGGGTTGGCATTTGGAATGATGCAGCTCATATCCATTTGTCACACAAAACGTGGTGAGGGCCACAGGTGGAAGTGCATCAAAGGGGTACCTCAGTGCGGGCACGGACATCACCCTTGGTGATGATCTGCTCTATTATGACGGCCCCAACTCCAGGAGAGGTTACATGTTCAGAGGAAACGATGATGAACGAAGCCGGAGGTGGGCCAAGAGGTCCATTTTGTTGCATGGTGCACTTGTTGAAGGAGCAGACCTCCTGTACGGGATAAAGCCCCAGACATCGAGGATCAGCAGACTCTTTCCGGAGCGCAAAGGCGACTCCGTTTTGTATAACTTCGGATATGCTGATTCCACACGCCAAGAAGAGCAGAGGTTTGTTGAATTGAGTCAGCCTCCAGCAGTTGTCAGCATCGTCTCCAAGCGCAAGCTAGCGGCCGGGGATAAAGGCGACGGCAAAGGCGGTGCAGTGCCGAAGATTAGCGCAAAGCCGAAGGCAGGACCGCCAGGCGGTACCGTGCCTGGCTTGGAAGACCAATTGTTGGCGGTCCCGAAGGTGGGGGATCTGCCGGAGCAGGCAGGCCCTGCGAGGGAAGCTGAGGCGATCAGCGAGGCCCTTGATGATGAGTGAAGTGAGAGACCGGTAGCCGGAGCAAGGATTGGAAGGCAGTGTATGAAAAAAAACATATCTATACCCAGATGAGATCATGAGTGCTTTTTTGCAGTGGGTTGCTGAAGCGGAAGACACTTTTCTGCTACATCAGCTGAGTGTGTGTGCACAATTTGAAGCTTCGTTTTCATTCGGATGGCTTTTGACAGGGCAAACTGAATGCGTGCAAGATGAAGGCGATGTTTTCATGTGCGTTGAGAAGCACCTCTCGAACTGCGAGGCCTTTACTTTCCAAGTGGTCAGGCAACCGGCATACCAACCGGTTGTCTTTGCGCATCTTTTTTCTGGACATCGAAGGAAAGGAGATGTACAGACCTGGCTTGAAAGCGCAGGGGCCATGGCACTTTCGATAGATATCATATTTGATCTTGACATGGGCGACCTTAGCCGCCCGGAAACATTTGCCTTCTTCGCGAAGGCACTCAAAGACAATGTGCTGAACGGTCTCATAGCCGGCCCTCCCTGTGAAACCTGGAGCCGTGCAAGGGGCACGGCCCTTGCTGATGGTTCACAAGGCCCGAGGGTTGTTCGGACACAACAGAGGCCAAGTGGCATCCTCTCGCTGACTAAGGCCGAAGATAAACAGGTGCTCCTGGTTCCCGGCTCCTTGGGATAGCGGTACACTTGCTTGTCATCGCGCTGTGTGTTGGGGCATCGGGACTCCTGGAACACCCGGCAGAAGAGAGTCACGATTTCATGCACGTGTCTATTTGGCGAACATCGATCATGCGCTTGCTTCTAAAGTACCCTGGCTGCAGGAAGCTAAGGGTTTGTCAGGGATACTATGGTGCGGCGGCTATCAAGCCAACGGACCTGCTGCTTATCAACATTGATGCAAGTGCTGAAGAATTCCTGCTCAAGAGCAGGAAGACGAAGCTTCCCACAACTGCAGCCATTGGAAAACTCAGCGATGGCACATGGGCAACGACCCGCCTAAAGGCCTACCCGGAGATTTTTTGTGAAGCCCTGTCACAGCCTCTCCTGAGGAGTCAGCCTGTGGCTGCTGATTCGCCCCCTATCCCCAGTGACTTCGTAAAAGCCTGCAAAGACTTAATGCAGAGCTTCGACGAGTGTGCTGAGATGGGGGCTGATTTCTGTGGGAAACAAGCCCAACCTTTAATTCAGAATTAGATGCATTTTGCGGCCACGAACAGAGTTATCGGCGAGCGCAAGAGCAAAAAAAACAGTGTAACATCCTCCCTTGTTTCCCCAAACAGTGTGGTCACACTGGGGGTTCTTACGGAAGTATAGTTAGGTATCGAATCGAAGGTGGTCGCGCCGACGTGTGCGGCGAATTCGCTGGCATTTACAGTACATTCATGCTTCTCGATATCCTCGAAGTGCATTTCGACTGCGCAGGCTCTGCAGAATCTGGTGGGCTGGCGCCGGCTTGTCGCGACTGCGCTCTCGTTCTGGTGTCGTGCGCATTTTCGGACATGGTGGTCACGTTTTCGTGGCAGGCGCAAGGGAAACCTCGTGTTTTGGTGGTCCAAAGTCGACTTTTCGTGACGGGTGCAAGGCATCGGAGCGGCCTTACTTCGAAGTGCAGATTTTGTGGCAGGTGCAACACTTTGGATATGGTGGTGATCTTGGACGTGCTCTAATTTCCTGACAGGTGCAGTGAGTTGTGACTTTTGTACATGTGGCTCGTTTTCAGTGGCAGAAATCGTTGCAGCTTTGTGAACCTCGAAGTGCAGATTTCGTGGCAAGTGCAGTACACACTCACATTCACTCTCACTCGCTCGCTCCCTCCCTCACTCACTCGCTCACTCCCTCCCTCACTCGCTCACTCACTCACTCACCCACAACCACCATCACCTCCCTGAACCCCAATGCGTCTAGGTCTCTAGACTTTCTGCTGCTACACCTCTGAACCTCACACACACTGTTTGGGGTCTCTCACCGAGATAGTTTTTCTCGGCTTCTCGGGATTCCGGTGGACTTACGCTATGAAATCCATGCCGGGCCACGAAAGTCGTTCCAGCCGTACTGACCCCTCACGGTGGATCCACGGTACATCCACAGTGGACGGTTGCCATGAAGACGGTCGCGACTGATGTGCGTGGCGGACATAATAGATCGTATTGGATTGTTTTTGCACTGCAACTCACTCCCGAATGCTCCTTTCGCCCTGTAGATCATAGATCGTTTCAGGTTGTGAATGGTTGACGGCTGTGTTACTTGAGCACATACAAGGGGTGTGCGTGGAGTCTTCGTTTGTACATTGGGAAACGGGTTTTCTCTTGTGGCTTTAGACAATCCAAGATATTCCATGTACAGAGTTCAGGAAGACCATGCGGCTATGTCGTAAATGCTTTTGACAACCAGTGAGTTCAACAGCAGGTGTTGGTCCGTGTTTCCCTTTTTAATGGGTGACATTGCAGACAATGCAACCATTTTTTGAGCACTCAAACTGTCCAATCGGTCGATCTGTTTTTTTCCTTATACTTACGGACATGTTGGACGAAATTGGCACCAAATCGCCGACCTGTTGACCTGTTTTGTTCACATTTTTGGTATGTTTGAATTCACAATAGTGAGAGGGAATGTATTCCTCAGACAATCCATGTGTTTGATGATATCATCCTTTTAAATGCCATGTACCAGCACCCTCCAAGAGGTCTCCTTTGGTGGTGTTTTGAGACTTAAATGCGGCAGGTGGTGACCTGTTGGAGGGTCCTGGTAGAGTTTGATTTCTTCACTTTGTTGGCGTTCCGGTATGCAGAAACACAACACGGTTTGTGTTGTTTCCCGGCTTAGTTGGATTTATCATGATTTATCAATCTTCAATCACTGGACGCACAGGAAGGCCTGGAAGCCATTGAAGTATACAACCACCTGGTTTTGATGGGTGATGTTTATTTTTGTCCGGTTCCTGACCACCAGCCTATACTTCATGTACAACCAGCTAGCTTCAGCTCACACTGTCGCACACCCCTGTGCTGCTCGGTTTTCTGGTCATCTCAGGACTCAGACCGAGTTCCTGCGCTGCCTTCGGAGCTTGTACGAGGACGATGGTTCCTTTCGCACCCGGCTTTTGCGGCCGTGGGTTTCGTCCGAGCTGCCGAAACATGCCGTCGACCGGGCAAAGAGCGGAGTTGGTCATGCTCAAAAGGGCTGCTGAACTCAAAGACCCACTATAGCATATATATAGTTAATCCCTTTAATCCCTTATAATACAGGTCAGTTTGACCTCATTTTATTGAAGTTGGTCAGTTGGTCATGGAGAAACCTTACGAACATGGAGGTTTTCAGAGACAACGGACCGACAGCTCGACGGACCGGCAGGTCTGGTCCGACGCGGCACGGGCGCGGGAATGGAGGGTGGCTCGGGAAGGGCCAAATCCGAAGATCGCCCGGCGCCGTCATGAATTTCGGTGAGTTTGGATGCAAACTGCGCACAAAACCACCTGCAGTTTGGCTGGGTAGTGGATGGATGTGCGTGGTAAACCTGGCAGCCGGCATTGATAAAAACACTCAACCTGGGTGGTGCTGGAACAACAAGCTGTTTTGTCCCTTCTTGATCCGTCAGGGTGACGAATTAGGCTCGTGACAACGGCAGGTAGAGGTTGTGGTGATAGGCAGGCGTGAGATGGTGTGCGCCGTGAAGGACAACTGTTCTTAGTCCTTGTGATCTGAGGTGATCGTTCTATTGTGAAAACACTCCAGGTAACCCAGTCATTCAGCAACGGGTGGGCGAGGCGTAGAAGCATGGAAGGCCAAATCCGAACCTTGAGACTGCAGGTCTTTTTGCTTCTTCCCTTCGTGTCACCGGTGTAGCGCCAATCCTTTCAAGGGTTCGCGGAATGATCTTAATTCACGACTTGTTTTAATATAATGGAATTTCCGCCTTCGACGGTCGGACCAGGCCCCATTTCGCTTTTTTGAGCTCTGGATTCAACCTAAACGCACGCAGCCGTGTTTCGGGGCGATTCTGGACAGCCGGGCACGGCGCCATCGATGGTTTGCAGGAGCAGAGCATAGGAACAAACCACCGCCCATTCCAAAATGGAACGAACACACCAGTCGACTGCCCGACAATTGAAATCGTAAAGTCGCACCAGTCGCCCGGTCACTGTTTTCCGCCGGTCGCCCGAAGGCCCCTGAATAGAGCGCCGGCCTACAGGTAGAGTCGTGAATGCAAATCAAGGCAACCATGCCGGTAATTATTTATTCAAAGGGGTGTCCAATGGAGATCCCTATAGGTAGTGTAGGGGCTTCCAGCCAGGTGACCCCTTTGAAGGTGCTGGTATATCATGCGTTGTTCCAATCCAACGCAGTCATTCTTCTGGCTTGAAGTCATGCTTCAACTCCGTGAACGGGAACCACGTTTGGCCGACGAAGCGCAGGAGGAAGCGCAGGAGATTTCTCGGCGGCTGGCAAGGAAGGGTGGAAGGCAGGGCATGATCTTCAGTGTGCGCGAAAAAACACAAAGGGGAAGAGAACGGATGGTTAAAGAGAGAGTCAAAGGGAGAGGTGCCAAAAAGGGGTGGGATTTGGGGTGATTTGGGAGTTAATTTGTGGTGTTTATCAGTTCGGCAGATGGTCCAAGATTTGATGCACAACAACACCGGCCTTCTGGGCTGCAGGGCGGTCGATGAGGAGCTCAAACGTCCGTGTTTGTTGCGGCGACGGTTTCGGAGTTCGCTTTTGGGGAAGACAATCCGGAGACGTCGTGCAGTAGAACATTGTATCCTCTTGTCCCGAAAACCAGGTTAAAACATGTTAAAACCAGGCGAGCGAGGGGCCCAACGAAACCGGAGCTCGGTGAAGATGAATGAAGACATCGGGGTGCAGAGACGGAGCAAAAGAACCGAGAAACGTATTCAAAAACTGTCCCACACGTGAGGGATCGCAGGATTGCCCTGGTCGGTGTGTCAACTGGATGAACGCAGCTCAGCAGTGTGTCACATCGGCCTTGGGAGTGACCGGTCCAGTCTTCATTGTTTGGTATACCCGGGAGTGTCAAGCCAGGTTTAAAAAAATGGAGACTTGCACAGGTTTGCACAGAGACATCTTCCAGCTTCTTATTCAGGGTCTACCCTTCTTGGCAAAAGGCACAGGATGGCGAGGATCAGTTGGGTTAACCAGTGGTCAGGAGGGTTTAGAGGCCCCACCCGGATGGTGTGGTGGTTCCACCGACCGTCTCCCACCTGATTGCCAGGTGTCGCAATGGCTTGCAGCTGGTGGCTGGGTTTGGTGGGCTTGGGCTTGTTGGGAGGACAAAGGGCAGCACATGGCCGTTGCGCAAGTCCTTTTTAGACAGATCCCGAATTCAATGGTCCTGGAGTGGAAGAACAAGAAACGCGAAACGGGATGCACACCGGGTGCACATAGAGAAGCGAAAGGAACAACCAGGGACCGCCACGCCACCTCCATGAGGGAGCCTTGTTGGCTGGCTAGGCGATGGCTCGGACGTCCGACTGTCCGACTCACGGGAACCGGGAACGGATCCGGATGGATCCGTTCCGCTGCAGCCAAAACATGGCCTGAAGTGCGCAGTTCAAAGGTTGGAACACCAGCGGAAGCTTATGCCAGCAGCACCCAAAGAGTGGTTTATAGACCCCCCTGAAGATGTATTTTTCATCTAATAACCACCCAAACTGGGTGGTGCTGGTGGATGTCTTTCAATAGGAAGACACCCTTCCGATCTCGCCCCTGGCTGGGTAGACCGAACCAAACCTGCTGCGGGTCGGAATGCCCATGCCCGGGAGCTCTTCCCACACGGAGGAGGTCTCCCACCGTGTCTCCAGCCGCTGAGGAAGAACTCCTGCGTGCGCTGGGCTACACTGCCACAGTGGATATCCTCGTGGATGCACTTCAGGCCACTCTTGGGAGCAGCTGTCAGGAGTAGCCTGACCCCACTACGGAGTAGCCTGCAATTTCAGATGCCCATGATATATTAAACTATGAATTTGCAGTTGTGACGTGTTTATCATTTAATGGCACAAGACGATGCCAATGATGTGCTCTAAGTGAAACCAAAAGCAGTCTGATTTCACACCCCAAGTCAAAGATAAAGTAGGAAACCACATGCAAACCAATTCCCACTCTATTTCCAGGCTTCTATAATCTTCTATAGGGCTGTTCTGGTTCAGGTGATAATAGAATATTAGTCTATTCACAGCCAGCTAACTTCAAGTGTTGCTTCATGGTGCAAAAACATCTGAAGTTTGAAGAAAGCCCACACGGATACCATTTTGGGGTGCCCATACGGAACACGGACACCAAAATGATTTTTGTTGTTGAACCTTTCACGACGGTCACACGAGCGAGAACCCACGTTCCACAAGCGCGAACCTGCGTTCCAGTTCCAGCCGTGTTTTTCTGGGCGACGAGGCACAACACCTTTGCAAAGGATATGTGTCACTCGGCGGTTGGCTTCCACGAACTTCTGTTCACCGTCGTTTGACGTGGCGGTTGAGACAGTGCCGGTCCCGGCGTCAGACGTTGCAGCGACTGGAGTTAGCTTTTAAGGGTCGTTTTGGCTTGGCGGGCAAAATAATGTTGACCCTTGATTTATAAACTCCCCCCCCCCCCTCAACAACCAAGGCCTCCAATATAATATATAAGAAAATCAATCAATTGATAATTAAATAAGGAATCCTTAGCTAGCTACCTCTGGAGCTACTCTGGCAATATTAAAATAGAAGGAATTAAGAAACCTAACTTTGAAGACATCTGGAATATTAATTAGAATAAAAGGGAATGAATCAATGGACAAAGAACTAACTTTTCTTTGTTTTTCAATACTTTTGAATAAGGGATTTTATTAAGAAAGTGCGCACTGACTTTTGGAAACTTTTGGAAAGCTTCACAACTAAAGAGCTTAGGAAAAGTAAATAAGGAATAGAGGGTGAGTAAAGCAAATCAAAAGGCAAAGAAAAGGAAACACAGATTTAAAGCCTCAAATCTCTAGACATTATTCTAGGGGCCCCCCCTAAATAATGTCAGAAAGCTGCTTGCTGGACTACCCCCTTTGCTTGA